AGAACCCTTGGACCCCGACTCGGGACAGCAGCTGTATAAAGCTAAGATCGGCGACATCCAGTGGGACCTTCCCGGGGAGACACCTGGCGAGGCGATGGGGCGGCTTCAAGTCACCCTTGGGGCGATGTTCGCAGGCGCCCGGCACGCGTTCGCCAAGCAGCATGCCTTGCCCAGCAGCAAAGGCGCGCTCGACCCGCTACGGCGCGACCAGCTAACTTGCCTCCTGTGCTCCTTCCGCAGCCACAAGTGCGACGCACGGGCCGTGAACGACGCGCTGGACCTCGGCGTTGATTGGGCGCAGCTGCGGCATCGGTACCTGGGCGGAAGCGGCGGCGCTTGCAGGGGTCGCCAGGCGGCGAAGGGCCACGCTGACAGCCGCGCGCCCAGGAAGGGCAAGAAACAGTGAGTGGTCGTCTCCTAAAGCTCTGCGGGGGCGCTCGCCCGTGTTTCACACTTGTCTGCCGCCGCCCCGCCCTTCCTGCCCCTCGCCGCCCACTGCTCGCCGGTGGCCCTGTCGCCCCTCGCTGGCTGCCCCCGGCGGCTGCGGCGGCCAGGGCCGTCCGCGCGCGCGCCCCCGCCAGCGCCGCGGACGCAGCTGACGCCTTCGGGCGTGTCGGCGCCGTCCGTCATGTTGGCCCGCACCGCGCGCCGCCTGGACCGCCCCGCGCCGTCGCTCCTTGGTGCGTCGGTGTCAGCGCTGCGTGCGCTATACTTGTTTCACCTCTGGCTGGGCGCTGCCAGCCCGCAAGCCCCTGCCCTCGCTCAGCGGGCTTGCTCTTCCCGCCGCCCCCGGGCTCTCCGCGGCGCAAAGGTGCATTCCGGGGTGGTGGCCCTACGCCGCCCCTTCTTGCCATCGCCGCCTCTTGGGGCCCCTCGCCCCCTCCGCCCCTCCCCAGGCAGCCGCGCCCGCAGCAGCCCCCGCGGCCCTGGCTTCCTGCCCCCCCCCCCCCCCCCCCCTGCTTCACATGCCCAACCGCTCGTTGGCGCATGGGGCCCCCGAGTGCACGCGGCCCAGCCTGCGCTCTCTCACGCTCCCCGCGCCGCCGAGGTCGGCCACGACAGTCGGTCTACCTCGGCGCGCTCAGGGTTGCAACCGCCTCTGGCGCCGTCGCGGCGACAAGGCTGCACGCTGTGGCTTCTGGTCGCCATGGCCCCTGCTCCTGGTGCTGGTCCAGTTGCTCACGTATGTGCGGCCGTCAGCCGTTCCTGGGCATCGGGTGCTATGCTATGTCCTGGCCGCTATGCCATGTTCCTGGGTTTCGTTTCGGTCTCATGCTTCACACGTGCAGACGGCCGTCAGCCGTTCCTGGCCCCTGGCATTCACGCTGCCGTTTTGCACCGACAGTTCTGCATGGTATCAGCCTGGTTCAGTTGGGGTTGGTTTACACGAGTATGTACGGCTGTCAGCCGTTCCTGGCCTTCGGGTGCTATGTTTTGCCCTGGTCGCAATGCCATTCCTGGATGGGTTTCGGCCCCTGCTACGCACGTGCAAACGGCCGTCATCCGTTCCTGGATTCGTTGCCCTGGCACAGCTAATTACTTTCGTGGCAAGTGATGTGTAGAAGCTACTAGCACCGGCATATTGGCCTGCGATTCCTGAATTTCCCCACCAGCCTGATTCATTTGGCCTGGCAATTTGATGCATGTCGGTGATGGTGGACCGCTTCCGACCTCCTGGCCCTGGCGCCCCCAGCTCACCGCAGCGCAGCTCGGCGGCTTTTGCAGCTTAGGTTTGACCCCGCGCTCTAGTTTGCTGCTCGCTGTAAATTAGTAAGGACCGCGCCCCGGACTTACCGACCCGCCGCCTGCGCCTTCGCTTGCGGCCGCGAACAAAAAAAGTGCCCCCACCAGCTCGCTCGCAGTAGTCGGGGGGCCTGCGCCCTTGCAACTAATTCCAAGTCTGCTGGTGTCCCTGGTCGCCGGTCTCCCTGGCCGCCAGCTGCTTCCGACGCGTTGCATGCATGCACCCAGGCAGTACTGTTACCCAGTTTCCCGCCAGCCTTTTCCACTCGCCAGCCCGCCGTCGAGGTGCTGCTGAGGCTTCGGCCCACCGCTTTAGGTTAATTCGTCTCTGCGCGCCCCGCTCTGACTGGACTCGCCGCTGGCGCGCTCGCCTGTGGCCGTTGATTAAAAACGTATCTCCACCAGCCCACCCAGAAACGATCAACAGGGGAATTGGTAAATCATGGACGGCTGGAAGCATGCAAGTGCGCGGCCGCCCTCAAACCAAAAATCACGCATAGAGTCCCGCGTTGAAGTTGGAGAATCAAAACGGCGCAAGAGATGACGTAGTGACCCCCGTGGCGACCGTCTCAATCGCAGGTGGCTGCGTCCACCCTGGGCGGATCACACATAGCTTGCCGCAGCGATGTTTAAGATGCAAACCGGTGCAACATACGCCGGGCTGTTCCTTGTGGTAAGCGTCTCTGGCGCAGGCGACTGCATCTATAATTCGTCGCCCTCGTCACACAGTTGAGATTCGCATCCCCATATGCATCATTGATTTATTTCCCCCGCAATGAAGTTTATCTCGGACTCGTGTGCGGCTGCTGGTGATGGCGGCGGTGGTGGTGGTAGCGGTGGTGGTGATGCTGCTGGTGTTATTGTTTGTGGTGCTCTGTTGCCCTGTTGGAACCACATTAGGGCAAGTGGTGCTGCTGGCGTTGGTGATGATTGGGGCCATTTTGGGGGTCAGAGGAAGAGGAGTAGGAGGAGGAGGAGGACGAGGAAGAGGAGGAGGAGGAAGAGGAGGTGGTGGAGGTGGAGCAGGAGGAAGAGGCGAATGAGACAAACAGAAAATGAGGAAGGGAAGGAGGAGGAGGAGGAGCAGGAGCGCGGCGCGAGGAGGAGGAGGAGCAGGAGGAACGCGGCGCGAGGAGGTTGAACTGAGGCCCGACCCCCTCACATTGGAATCCGTCGTAAAATCGGATGTTCTAGTATACGGGGGCCCGAAAAGTTGTTGCGAGAGGTTCTTGGGGCACAGTTGGACCCACCTTGCGGGTTCCCATGGGGTCCCCGTGGGGCTTCCTTCGGGCTCGAATGGGGCTATTTTGAGATTTCTTTAGTTTTTTTGGAGTCTGGGGGCCCTCTTGGGGCTTTTTGGGGTCGTCTGAGAGGCCTCCTGCGGCCGGGTAGGTCCCCTTCGCTCAAGAAGAGAGGGGGGTATTCAATTTAGTTCTTCCCCCCTCGGAGGCCCAGAAGGGGCGTGTTGGGGCCCTCTTGGACCGTTCTTGGGGTGCTCGTGGACGCTTATGTGGCCGTCTTGGGGCCCTCCTGGGCCTCTCTTTGGGCTATGTTGGGCCATCGTGGGGCCACCTTGACGCCTCCAAAGCGAAAAGGCAGAACACACTGTACTAGAGGGTTCGGAGGGCACTTGAAACCGTTTTTGGGCCGTCTTGCGGCCTCCTTGGATGCGTGTTGGAGGCTACCTTGAGCCGTTTTGACGTATCTTGGGCGATATTGGAGGTCAGCTTGGGCTAGCTAAGGCCGTCTTGAAGCTATATTTGGCCATCATGGACGCTCTGACCCGTCGCGGGGGAGCCCGTCCAGACCTAGGGAAGCGGGGAGTTGCACCTCCCGAGCAGGGAAACGAAGGAGGCCGGAAAAGGAAACGCTCTCGACCACCTGCGCCCAGAGGGCTGGTAGGACGAATATGAGCTGCGCAAGCGCATTGCAATTCAGGTGTAACACCTGCAATCTGTCATAAACACCGCGCGAGTTAGATTTATTCGCACCTCCCGCAATTCTGTGGTAAGGACACATTGCGGCCTGGGTAAAACAACTTTGCAGCACACGCGCAGCGCATGTGCAGTTCCAGCACATCGCAACACACAGGAGGCAAGGCTGGCCCTCCGGCGCAGGCCCCGCGGAGCGCGTCGGACGCGGGCCGCGCCCCGCCGCGCCCCGAAACCGAGGCAGCAGGGAAGGAGGAGGAGGAGGAGGAGGAGGAGGAGGAGGCGCAGGAGGAGGATGAGGAGGAGGAGGAGGATGAGGAAGGGGAGGAGGAGGAGGAGGAGGAGGAGGAGGAGGAGGAGGAGGAGGAGGAGGAGGAGGATGGATGAGGAGGAGCACCAGTGTAAACCCAAGAGTCATCAACGATGCTGGAAGCAACCTTCCCCCCAGGCTCCCTCTTCACAGGCCCCTGCAACGGTTCATTTCCATGGAAGGAGCTGCCTCTTTGGAAAACCGCTTGAAGACCCTGAAGCCTGCCAAAACATTGTTCTCGGGATTCCAACGCCACGGAACAGTTTGACTGTTGCGTCCTGACAATCGTGAATCGCGCCAGCACGCCCTTCCTGGGACTTCAACACAACGAATCAACATAATTGTTGCACCCGCATAATCCAGAATCCTTTCAAAACACCAGTTCTGGCACGTTGATGATGTGAATCCGTGATTTGTTCTGCAAGTTCTTCAATCGAATCTGCGCAGTGCTAAGGCGAGAGCCACATTTTGAAAACCACCCGCCCTCAATCCGTGAAACTGTGGCGAATTTTCAAAACGAATGTGCGCCGCGTTAATGCGATAACTACATTTTGAAAACCACCCGCCCTCAATCCGCGAAACTTGTGTATGTTTTAACCTCTTCGCCGCGCTAAGGCGAGAGCTACATTTTGAAAACCACCCGCCTTGAATCCGTGGAACTCTTGCAAAATTCCAGAACGTATGTGCGCCGCGCTAAGGCGAGAGCCACATTTCGAAAACTACCCGCCCTCCATCTGCGAAGCCGCTGCCAATTTGTAGGCTTCAGGGTCATAAGTGGTAAGGAAGTCCCAGCCGAATCGCCGGGACCGCCTTCAAAACTTGCTTCGGGGTGCGACAGGGAGAAGTAAGGAACAGGCACGGAGGAGGAGGAGGAGGAGGAGGAGGCGGAGCAGCACCAGGCGAAGGGCGGCATCCGATGGACCCTTTCGCCTCCAGATCCTTGGCAGGAGGCGAAGGCCGGCGTCTGCGCTTCGCAGCGCCACGGGGGAGCCCTGCGCGCCCCCCCCCGCGCGCAGGCGTACGGCCACAGCGCGGAGAGGGGGAGGGGACAGGCGCGCCCGCCGGCCGGCGCGATCCGGCACGGCGAGGGAGGGCTGCGAAGGCCTTGCGGCCGGCGCCGCCGACCCCGAAGGGGGACAGCGACGACGACGGCGGCGGCGACGACGAGGATGGCGGCGGCGACGACGACGACGGCGCTGACGTGGGTCAGAGTCCTGAGGGATGCTGTTTGGGGTCTTCTCGGAGCGCTCTCGGATGCCTCTGTGGGGCAGGATGTCGGGCCATCGTCGTAGAGGAAGAAGAAGAAGAAGCAGAAGAACAAGAAGGAACAACTTTTTATAAACATAAATCTTTGGCGCTCCGCGCGGATTTCTTGGATCTGCGCTGGGCCCCCCCGGCGCCGCCCCTGGCGGGCTCCGCGCGCCAGAGAGGGTGGGTCCAGCGCAGATCCAAGAAATCTGCGCATGCAGGGCGCCACGAGTTTTGATTTTATGCAGTTTTCTTTTCTTCTAGATCTGGCACAGCAGACCCCCCAAAAAAGCGACCGGAGGTTTTTCGTTGCATCTGGGGGCCCATACCGGGCCTCGGGACCGTTAAAAAGTAGACTCAGGGAGAAGAGCTGGTCGCGGGCAATGGGTCCGGACTTTTTGGGGGGTCGCGTCATAACAATGCCTCGATCGTTCACTCTTGAACTGATCGTAGCCCTTCTCGTTCACGGTTGAATTCCGTCTGATCTTGTGGCGTTACCGTGTTTCTCATCGCTTCCGCGTCGTTCTATCATGCGGAGTTCAACCTTGAATGGCTTCGCCGGCGTCGCTGGCGCGCTGTCGCCGCATGAATTTTCCGTAGGCCCAGCGGGAAATGCATCGGATCAAAAGGAGGAGGAGGAGGAGGAGCAGCAGGAGGAGGAGAGGGAGGAGGAGGAGGAAGGGGAGGAGGCGGAGGAGGAGGAGGAGGAGGAAGAGGAGAAGGGGGAGGAGGAGGAGGAGGAGGAGGAGGAGCGTCGAGGAAACGCAGACACGGGTCACGACGCGTGGGTTAGCGGTGGCCGGCCTCCGTCGCAATGTCGGGCAGCATGTTTTGGGATGTAGTCTCCCCGATCCGTGGGTCTGGCGCCCTCGCTGCAGGTTCGCGGATCTCACCGTGTCAGCATGTGCCCGACCAACGATTGCGTTGCTCTCTGCTATTGGAACAGTGGCGAGGCGTCTTGGCCTGCTCGTAGGCCCACCAGAGAACGCACGAGCAGCCTTCTTTTTGTGGTTTGCACCAGGTGTTCTCCCAACATGACTGGCTGAGAACCTTCTTTGGAGTCCAGTCTTTCAGTCGATGTTGCTCTCAGTCTGCCCTGCTCTGAGAGCATTCGGTGGCTGGCGTGTTGGATTACTGGGACGGCCGGCCCTGCTCGGAGGAGGGGGAGGATGAGCGTCGAGGAAACGCAGACATGGATCACGACGCGTGGATTAGCGATTGGCGGTTTCTGTCGCAAAGACGGGCATCATTTTTCGGGGCGTAGTCTCCCCCCTCTGTGGATCTGGCGCCTGCGCGCCAGATCCTCGAATCCCGAATACCGAAGACGCCTGCGGCGAGTCACCGTCGCCCCTGCCTTGTGGAATCGCCCATGTGGCCGAGCGTTGTGGCAGGAGCTCAGCCAAGCTATCCGTTCACGTGTTCCCCCAGCCGTTGTGGAACCCCCTCGGGGAACACTTGGGGGAGGACGGCGGGGAAGATCAGGAAGTGGAGGAGCAAGAGGAGGGGAGGAGGCGGAGGAGGAGGAGGAGGATGAGGTATCTTGAGAGCCTCTGGGGGCACACTTGAGGCCTCCTTGGAGCGTCCTTGGGCATCTTGGAGGCATCTTGGAGGCATCCTTGGGCCTCTTGGGGGCCTCCATTCGTGGCGCGTGTGACGCCGTCGGCAGCCGTCTTTGGCGCCTCTCTCGGCCGACTTGGGGCCCTCTTGGGGTGCTCCAGGGCCGTCTTGGAGGCCACCTTGGGTGTTCGGGAGGACTCTTGAGCTGTCTTGGGGCTGCCTTGGGGACCTCTTGGGCCGTTCTGGGGCCACCGTGGAGGCCTCTCGGGCGATCTTGGGGCGATCTCTGGGGGCTCTTTGGCCGTCGCGGAAGGCCGAGAAGAAGCATATCCCCAAATCCTTCAAGCACCACAGGTACATCAATCATGTTGGCATATTTAGGCCTTCCTGGAGGCCTTCTTGGGGGCCTCGTGGGCCGTATTGGGCAACCTTTAGAGCAATCTTTCGCCGTCTTGATGGCCTCCTGGCCCGTCTGACGCCGTCGGAAGCCGTTTTGGGAGCCTCTCTCGGCCGACTTGGAGCCCTCTTGGTGTGTTCCAGGGCCGTCTTGGAGGCCATCTCGGGCTTCTTGGATGCCTCTCGGGGCCGTCGTGGCGCCTCTTGGGACGTTCTGGGGCCATCTTGGAGGCGTCTTGGGCAATCTTGGGGCGATCGTTGGGGACACTTGGGCCGTCGGAAGGCCGTCGGAAGGCCGAAAAGGAGTAAATCCTTTAGCACAAACCATCTGACAAATCAATGCTTTTGCCTCTTCGGGCCTTCCTGGAGGCCCTCTTGGGAGCCTCTTGGGCCGTCTTGGAAGCCTCTTGGGGGCCTCTTGTGCCGTCTGCCGTCATCTTGAGGCCATCTTGGGCCGTCTTGGGTGCATCTTGGGACGCCTTGGAAGAATCTTGAGGCCATCTTAGCCGTCTTGGAGGCCATCTTGGCCATCTTGGAGGCCATCTTGGGCCATTATGGCGGTCTTGAAGGCCATCTTGAGTCGTCTTTGGCGAGTTTTTGGAAGAATTCGGCGCCTTGCGGTCCCTTCCGGGTGGTCGGCGGGATGGGCCGAAGCCCCAGGGGAAATTCTTTGGGAAAAAGAGCCCAAGCCAAACCAGCTGGGTTTAGCACGCCAGGCACCCCTGTGGCAAGCCAACAGGGGGCGGCGGATCTGATGGCCTTTGGCCCACCCCGCCAGCGGGCTTGACTTGTGAGTCAGAGTCCTCAGGGATGCTTCTTGGGGTCTCTTCGGATCGCGCTCAGGGCCAATGTTGGAAGCAGCTACTGGGCCTCTTGGGGCCATCTTGGGGCCTCCTGGGGGCCTCGTGGGGCCTCCTAGTGGCGTCTCCGGACCGAAGGCTCGAACTGTCCGTTCGGGTTCCTCCTGTGGGCCTCCTCTTGGGGCCGTCTTGGGGGCTTCTTGGGCCGTCTTGGGGCCCTCTTTGGCGGTCTTGGAGCCTTCTTGGGGGCCTCTGGGGCCGTCTTGGACGCCTTGAACCCCAAGAGGCGAATAAGCTTGAAATATGCGTTTTCGAGACGGCATGGGGCGATTCTTGCATATTGTGGCCCTCGTGGGGGCCTCGTCGGGCGTCTTGGATGCCGCTTGGGCCGTCCAGAGGCGCTCCTTGACAGTTTTGGCCGCCTGGTGGGGGGCTCCACGAAGTTCTCCAGGTCGTTTGGGGTGTTGCAACCGCTCCGGAGGCCCATGCCGAACACCCTAGGAGCGCCCAAGAGCGTCCCGGAGCGCCTGGGAAATTGGTGGTCCGGGCCTTGAAGAAACTACAATCTTGGTTGCAGCAGCGCATTGAAAAAAAATCATGACCTCGCACGTCTGGATGATGTCGTGTTGTTTCCATGCATGGTCCCTGCAGGCCGAGTCGTTCTTTGACAGTTCTGGGGCCCGGCGAGGGCCCCCAGAGGTTCAAGTCTGCATGATTCTGGCGAGCCACAATCCAGAACCCGCTTACCTCAGGACCCGCTTGCTTCATTCCAGGCCTCCCAAATAAGGTCGGAGTAAATGGTGTCGGAGAAACGTGCCGCTTCGCCGAGGCACTGGAGATGCGGCTCGATGTGCAGCCCGATTTGATCGTCGCCGACGGTGACGATGCATCGCCGACGTCGGCAGTGTATTGCCGATGCATCGGTGCATCGACAATGTGGCACGATCCTCCGACAACATTTACTCCGACCCCATGTGCTTGGATCACCGCTGGAGTTGCTAAGGGGATGCGAGGGTTAAAAGGGGAATGCTAACCAGGATTGTACCGAGTCTAACCCCTAAACGAGCACCTAGCTTGATTTTAGATGGCTAGACATGCCTGGCTTAAGGAATTAAAGATCTGGGCGAAGTAGTCCCCACCCGCTCAGAGGGGTTATCGAAGGCCCCTCACCGTTTCAGGGCACAAGCAATCCACTTGTAAGCCAGGTCAGGCCAGATTTGACCCACCGTGGCATCCGCTTATACCTCCCCTGTCCACTTAGCAGTCCCCGCGGTGTTCCAAGTGGGAGGCCTCTGCTCTGGGAGACGCCAGAAGCCGCCCAGCACCGCCTGCGCGCCGGACGCCGCGAGAGGCCTCCGAGGCGGCGGTGGCCGACTTCTTCGCCGCCGCGTCGCCCTGGATCCGGCCACGCCTCCGGGACTTCTCAGGCGCCCGCGCGCGATCACGCCCTTCGAGTAGAGGATCGACTACAACATTGACTTGCCCCAAAGCTGATTTGTTCGTCGAACCCACGGCAAACATGCAGAATATCAAGTAGATCTACGGAACAGATTCGACGAACGAATCAGTTTTCGGGTACATCAATCCTGTGGTCGATCCCCTTCTCGAGCTCCTCCTCGGGGGGGGGGGGGGCATATGGGGCGCTCCGAAAAGGGCCTTGCCTTCGAGGATAGAAGGAGTCGATCCCCTTCTCGAGCTCCTCGGCGGGGGGGGGGGCATATGGGGCGCTCCGAAAAGGGCCTTGCCTTCGAGGATAGAAGGATTGCAAAAACGAAGGATTGCAAAAAAAAAACAGGATTTCAAAAAAACCCTCGTTTTTTGCAATCCAGGGTTTTTTGGCAATCCTTCAATCCAGGGTTTTTTTTGCAATCCTTCGTTTTTTTTGCAATCCTCCGAAAAGGGCCTTGCCTTCGAGGATAGGAGGAGTTGACGTCTTCCTCGGCGGAGGGCGGCGGGAGGTCGGCGGAAGTATAGAGCGAGGCCGCCTCGCGCTGGCGGAAGCCAGCGCGAGGCCGCCTGCGCTGGCGGAAGCCAGCGGACGGCTGGCAGAAGGCGGCGGAAGCGAGAAGGTGCGCCCCAAAAACACAACAATCGGGGGTGGACAGAACCCCCAACAGTGACACGTCGATTAGTGAATTGTCCGTTTTCGGTTCTCGAGATGGCGCCGTGGCCGTTATTTTCCAGGCTTGCGCCCGCCAGGTTTGGGCCTCAGGTCGTTTTCACTAAACCACGTTTTACTAAAGGGGGGTTTGTCCATCCCCGAAAGATGCGCACCAAAAACACAACAAGAGTCCGCACCGCGGAAGTCCACTTCAGCCACGCACCCAGGGAGAGTGAATGACCGTCCGCCCTCCTCACTCTGACAGATATCAGCCCTATGTCTCAGCCAAGCGGCGCGAGTGGATTAACATCATGCGCGTTGGCGCCGCGCGAGTACTACCACCTGGGGAATCGGATGCAGTTCGACAGGATCCCGATAAGGCCCGTTGTATCATGGTCCCCCGATGGGCGTTGACGGACAAGGATGGCGACTCCGAGGACGCAGATGCAAGCAAGGTGCCCCTGCTTTTCCAAATCGACGGCACTTGGAGGATGGCCAAGGCACCGTGGACGGTCAGGGCCATGCCAACCTCGACTTGCTCGACCTGGAGACCCACAGTCCCGTGGTCGGCAAGGACTCTGTGTTCCTCATCTTGCAGATTCTGTGAACCAACAAGTGGACGCTCCAGCTGGCCGACATCACCTCCGCCTCCGCGGCACGCGACCCCCTCGATCGAACGCAGGGAGGCCGGCATGTGGACTTGCATCGGACAGGCGCCTCCGACGTCGGGACTGGCTCGCTGGCGGAGTTGCCCATGGCCGTCTACGGTCTACGGATAAGTCGGGCGTGTCCCTCTACAGGAGGGATATCCAAAAATAGTCAAACAATAGTCTTGGGACGATTTTTTCAGCATGTGTTTGATTATTTTAGGTGTATGTGTTGACTATTTTTTATTTTTCGCCCACAATCCCCATGTAGGGGAACATGCCCGACCTAATTCTACGGATTGGGAGATGCCCCAGTGCAGCGGTTATCTTCGTTCACGGACTACGCTAAGGAGAGTGGCTGTCAGTGCTCCGCCTTCGATGGCTGCGTCTTCTGCCTGGGGGGCCAGAGGGTCCCGCTCGGGATCGCGCGCCTCGCGGTGGACGACGTCGCGGGCGGAGCCGGCGAGCAGTTCGAGGCGACTTGCGAGAAGTTGCGCAAGAGGTTCATTTTCGGAGCCTGGCGCCACAAGAAGGGCAAACACACGGGCGCAGAGTTGGCGCTGAACGAGGATGACACCGAGCCCAGATCATCCCAGAGTCGGAGTCCGGCGGGTATGCAGCTGATCGGCATCGCTACGGAGCGGACGACGAAGAGGAAGAGGAGGAGCCGCAGCCTCGACGCTTGGCGGAGGAGGAGGAGGAGGAGGAGGAGGAAGCGGAGAGTGAGCAGGGGGGCGATGAGGCGGCAGCACGAGGCAGCACGAGGACGCAGAGGACGAGGACGGGGAGCCCCGGCCTCGGCGACGACGACGACGACGACGACGACGACGACGTCGAGGGCAGCGGCCGCGCAGGCCGGTCGCTCGCCTACGCCGCCGTGTCGTTCCTGGCGGTGGAGGCCGACGGCGCCGCCGCGCTGCTCCCCGAGCTCGGGCTGCAGGCGCGCCGTCCGTGCGCCTCCCTCCTGCTCCTCGCGCCGGCGGGTGCTCCTCTCGGGGGACGAAATCTATACATATCCACTGCTCCCTGGCCAGGCCCATCCTGAACCCAGGAGCTGTGTATACGCCCTCCTAGCCAAACCAGGAGGGCGTGGCGTATACACAGCTGCTGTGTTCAGGATGGGCCTGGCCAGGGAGCAGTGGATATGTATAGATTGCGTCGCCCTATCCTCCTCCCTCTCCTCCTCGCCCTGCCCAGTCGGCGTCGGAGGCTCAGGCACTGGGAGTCCCGACGGAGGGAGGATTATACCGAAACTCTCACGACTGGGCCTGCGGCACAGTCTGATCGCAGGGGATTGGCGAGTCGCACGCACAGCTCCTTCGTAGGTGTTGACGCTGGCCCCCTTATGCGGATGTCCTGGTCCTTGTCCTCGCCCTGCCTCCTCCCACTCAGGCCTCCCAAGTGGGGTCCTGGTAGCCTCCTCGTCCCTCTTCCTCTTCCTCCACCTCCACCTCTTCCTCCTCCTCGTCCTCCTCCTCGTCCCCCTCCTCTTCCTCATCCTCCTCCTCGTACTCCTCCTCGTCCTCGTCCTCGTCCTCGTCTTTCCTCCTCCGTTTCCTCCTCTCTCCTCCTCGTCCTCCCTTCTTTTCCTCCTGCTCCTTCTCCTCCTCCTCCTCCTCCTCCTCGTGTTGCCCATGGTCTCCTCTTCGTGCGCGCCTGCACGCTTGTCGCCCCCAAACCGTCCCCGCGCTGAAGGTCAAGGACCGCCGCCGCCGCCTTGCCGCTTCCGTCTACCGAGCCCCCACCCGTGGCTGGTGGAGGTTTGCGGCGAACGAGGAGGCCCACGGCGACGGTTTTTGTTCATATTGCTTCGCCGATGGGCGCGGGCCCCTGGCCCTTCCCCATCTCCCCCCCATCGCGACCAGATCTTGGCTGCTCTTGACGGCTGCCTTTTGCGAGTGGTCAGGGTCCCCCCCCGGCCTGCTTGCGCGACTTCCCAACCCCATATCGGCGAAGCACCCGCCAAGCACCGGCCTGGGACCAGACCCCGCCCCTTTTGCGGAGCTGTTGGGGCATCCCTCCTCTGCGGTGTGCCCGTTATTTTTTAACACAAGCAAGAAAACAATTAGCCTGGCGAAGGACCCAACCATATGCAGTTGTGAGTAATGCTGGTGTGAGTACCGTCTTCGGTGGATCTCCCTATGGGGCCACGAACCGTTTGAGGGGTGTGCCGAAATGGGTGTGGGGGCGGCATGCGAACGTTGCCACTGGGGCCTTCGGTGGAGCTCCTTATGGGGCCACGAAACGTGTGAGGGGTGCACCGCAGTTGTTGTGGGGGCGGCATGCGAACGCAGCCACTGGGGCGTTCGGTGGAGCTCCCTGTGGGGCCACGAAACGTGTGAGGGGTGTGCCGAAATTGGTGTGGGGGCGGCATGCGAACGCAGCCACTGGGGCCTTCGGTGGAGCTCCCTATGGTGCCACGAAACGTGTGAGGGGTGTGCCGAAATGGGTGTGGGGGCGCATGCGAACCCAGTCACTGGGGCCTTCAGTGGAAATCCCCATGGGGCCACGAAACGTGTGAGGGATGTGCCGAAATGGGTGTTGGGGAGGCATGCGAACCAGGCCACTGGGGCCTTCGGTGGAGCTCCCTATGGGGCCACGAAACGTGTGAGGGGTGTGCCGGGGTGTGCCGAAATGGGTGGGGAGGCATGCGGACCCTGCCACTGGGGCCTTCGGTGGAGCTCCCTATGGGGCCACGAAACGTGTGAGGGGTGTGCCGAAATGGGTGGTGGGGAGGCATGCGGACCCTGCCACTGGGGCCTTCGGTGGAGCTCCCTATGGGGCCACGAAACGTGTGAGGGGTGTGCCGAAATGGGTGGTGGGGAGGCATGCGGACCCTGCCACTGGGGCCTTCGGTGGAGCTCCCTATGGGGCCACGAAACGTGTGAGGGGTGTGCCGAAATGGGTGGTGGGGAGGCATGCGGACCCTGCCACTGGGGCCTTCGGTGGAGCTCCCTATGGGGCCACGAAACGTGTGAGGGGTGTGCCGAAATGGGTGGTGGGGAGGCATGCGGACCCTGCCACTGGGGCCTTCGGTGGAGCTCCCTATGGGGCCACGAAACGTGTGAGGGGTGTGCCGAAATGGGTGGTGGGGAGGCATGCGACCCTGCCACTGGGGCCTTCGGTGGAGCTCCCTATGGGGCCACGAAACGTGTGAGGGGTGTGCCGAAATGGGTGGTGGGGAGGCATGCGGACCCTGCCACTGGGGCCTTCGGTGGAGCTCCCTATGGGGCCACGAAACGTGTGAGGGGTGTGCCGAAATGGGTGGTGGGGAGGCATGCGGACCCTGCCACTGGGGCCTTCGGTGGAGCTCCCTATGGGGCCACGAAACGTGTGAGGGGTGTGCCGAAATGGGTGGTGGGGAGGCATGCGGACCCTGCTGCCTGCTGCCACGAGAGGGAGGAATCGGCGCGGTGCGGCTGATGACGCCCTGTTCGGTCTGTGGCGCTCCCAGAGGACTGCTGCAGCTGATGGCCGCACTTTCGGATGCAAATTCCTGAGCGCCTGAACAGTGAGGAACGTTTCCGAGCGGAGGCGCGCCTTCTGCAGCGCCCCCAATTGTTGCCACGGCACTGGAAGGCGCGCTTCGGATCGCATCTCCTGCCTCGACAACGGCACTGTCCCAGGGGCGCTGATAGGAGTGAGGAGCACTGCGGGGGTCCGCCTGCCTGCTTCCAGGACAGGGAGGAACCGGCGAGCAGTGGCCGACGACGCCCCGTTCGGTCTGTGGCACTTCCAGAGGAGCGCTGCAGCTGAAGGCCGCACTTTCGAATGCGAACTTCTGAGCGTCTGAGCCGCGAGGAACGTCTCCGAGCGCGGGCGTGGGGCCTTCGGTGGAGCTCCCTATGGGGCCACGAAACGTGTGAGGGGTGTGCCGAAATGGGTGGTGGGGAGGCATGCGTACCCTGCCACTGGGGCCTTCGGCGGAGCTCCCTATGGGGCCACGAAACGTATGAGGGGTATGCCGAAATCGGTGGTGATGATGATGATGATGATGATGATGATGATGATGATGATGATCCACGCATCCAAGAAGGTCTGGAGCTCCCCGCTCGATACAGCCTCCCGAAGCCATGGCCTTTCCCTCTGGCGCTGCGGACGCAAGGCCTGACCCGTGCCCAAGGCACACTCGCAGCCTCGCCTGAAGACTAGAGGCCACGCCATCCGCCTCGGCCGAGGCAAGCGGAAGGCAGGGCATCGAGCATTCACGGCAACTCAGCATGCTGGCTCGAGGTGCCACAGCACCGCAAACCTCCCGCTGGCACCAGGCCACAGACAGGGAAGGTTTGCAATGCGGTGGCCTTCGGAGGCAACCATGGCGGTGTGCGAACCTACCACCACGGTCCAGCCTCCGACTGGCGGCACAGAGCAGAGCAAACTGGGGCGCAAGAAGCGCTGGCCGTCGCGGCAAGCGCGCCAGCCACTACATTAAACGGAACGCTCCAGTGCGTGGAAACCAACACACCTGGTCCAGCTTCCGCTCGAGCGAGAGCCGTGCAACGGCACGAGCTAGCTCAAGAGCGGGACACGAGCGCCGAGCAAAGGCTGCTTAGCCTGCAGCATCGCCGCGTCCAAGGGACCTAACGTTGCCGCTGGCAGCAGAGCCCGATCCCGAGCGTGTGAAATCCTACGCTCCTGGTTCAGCCTCCACCCGAGAGCGGGGGCAGAGCAACACAGAACAGACGGAGCCCGATCCCGTGCGTGGGCGAACCTACGCACCTGGTTCAGCTTCCGCAGGGCGAGCATGCAAGGCACAAGCGCGCCCGACTAAACACCGTGCAAGCGGCCGCACTTCGCCACCAACATCGCAGCGGGTCCTGGCCAGATGCCAACCTGCTACGTTGCCGCTGGCAGCCGAGCCCGATCCCGTGCGTGTGGAAACCCCTGCGCACTTGGTTCCGCCTCAGCACTGGGACGGGCGGCGCTGCTGGAGAGCGGCGCGGAACGCGCCTCGCAGCAGCGATTGCCCCCGCAAGGCAACACCCTCACGCGACCTGAGGCACCAAAGTAGGGTTTGGTTGCCTTGCAGAGGCAGCCCGAACAGCCGTGTGCTAAACACACGTCTGTTCAATTGATGGCAGACAGAGCGAGGCGGCAAGCGTGGCAAGAAAGAGCCTAGCCACCATCGACGCGCCTGCGCATGCGCCGCAGCGGCTCAGGGTCACCGATGCCGCCCGTCCCAGCGGGCTGCAGGCCGCGCTTCAGCCTGCTGAGCACCGCCTTCTGCCTATCGTTATTGGGGGCCTTCGGGCACTCCGCTGCCAGGCCCGCCATCCTACGGCTCTGCGTCCAGTAGCCGCACTTCACGCAGAAGAGGTGGTTACCAGCCCGCCACAGGTCGTGGGAGCCGTGGGCGTCGAATCCCCACCACGGCGGGAGCTGCGGCGGCGGCAGCGGCGGGGGCCCGCCAACGGCCCCAGAAGGGCCCCCAGACGTCGGTGGGCTTCCCCGCTGGCCGCCGCCAGGCGCGCCGCTGCCGACTCGCCCTGCACGCGCCTCGTCTCCTTCCACCTGTGCTGGTGCCTCGCTGGCCTGACTGTGGGACAGCAGCGCCGCGCCCGCCGTGATGAGCGCCGCGGCTGCAGCTACCGATCCGCCACTGCTCTCGGCCCCAGAGGCCCAGGAGCCCGCGAGCGCGTCGCCCCTGCCCGCGCACCGCTGGCAGGCCCAGACCGTGTCGCCGTCGACGTCCAGCCACGTCCCGTGCCGCCCGCACGCGCGCTGCGGGCAGTCGGGGAAACTGCAGCGAGCTCGCCATCGCATCTTGCAGCCGCGCCGATCGCACCGAACTGCTTCCATGCCTGGGCCCTCGTGCCCGTCCGCTGCCGTGAGCTCGGCGTCGCCGTCCTGCATCGCCGCACCCAGCCAGCAGAAGACCTTCTTGACGAGACGATCCTGCCTGCGGCTCCTATCTCGCACGTCGTCGTCGCTGGGATGCAT